CCAGTTCACAGAGCCCTTGCCTGCAACTCCTGCCTGCAACTCCTGCCTGCAACTCCTGCCTGCAACTCCTGCCTGCAGCCCTGCCCCCAGTGCACAGAGCCCCTGCCCACGGCCCCTGCCCGCAGCTCTCGGGAGGGTTGCGCAGCCCTCGCAGCTGGCAATGGCCCGAGTGGATCCATGCCCAAATGCCATCGCAGGCAGGCGATGCCAGCACTAATTAGGACTCTCCGGCCTAAGTCTTGACTTCAGGCTGATCATTACGCCCCTAAGCCGGATGCAGGCGGGCAGGGGTGCGTGGTGTCAGCGCAGCATCGCCGGGGAGCACATGCCTTCGTGACGGTCACCTCCCACATGCGGCATGGACAAGCACTTGGGCATAGAGCACTCTGCAGCAGAAACCACGAGACACTGATTTAATGTTTGTTTTTCAACCCTTCCGTGGCCCTTTCGCCTTAGTGGAGATTGGGAAACCCTCTTCTGATGACGGGTGCCGCTTGCAGAAGGGGCAGGCAACCCCGGAATAAGAGTTTGGTTTCTGTAGAGATGAGCCTCGTGATAAATAGAGCCACACTTTCTAATTTGGGGTTTTGTGATGTGGGTGGATGCTGTAAGATAAGCCAGTTGCCAGGAATTGTCATCCCAGTGCTCGCCTCCGCCACGGCAGTTACTGGCTGGGAAGAGTGAATGGTCAGAAGTGCTAAAATCCTCAGTTTTGCACCTGTAGAGCAAATGGCTGCGAACTTTGTCCGTGCAGCCTTGCCCGCGCCAGCTCGGTGCTGCCGCAGCTCCTGCCCGCGCCTCCGCTGCAGCGTCTTTCTCCTTTCAGATCGCCGTCCGAGCCGTGACCCACTTTGGTCCTGCTTTGAAGGAGAGGGAAGGCAGCGGGGACGGATGCGGCTACGGCAGCGGGATTTTTCTGCAGGCTGCGGTGTGGAAGGTACGCACGCCCTGATCCCCGCTCTCAGTTCGGCTCGGCTTTGGGGGAAACACATAAAAGCCACCGCCTGCCCGAGGGACTCCGAAACGCCGTACGCAGCCACATCTTCTGACAGAGCTGTTCGAAGAACCAGCCCCGCTGGAAGGATAACCTGCCATTTCAGCCCACTTCTTAACGCTCTGTCATGCGCTTTTAACTAGAGGTTTACATCACCCTCCGCCAAGTCCTTCCCACACGTGGGGACTTAACCTCCGGAAGAGGAAATATTGTAAAGCAATACGTTACCTCGATAGGCTCAGCACCAAAACACCCAAGAAGAAACCCACCTCCCTCCTCCCCCCCAGACCTTGGCTGGCCTGTGTGCCACACACATACTTTCGTTTCTTTCTCATGGCCAGATAAAGGTACCGTGCTTACCACGTCCCCACAGCGGGAAACCTTTGTCCCAATCCACAGAGCACGGGTGATGCAGCAGCTGAGCCCGCGGCTTTTTCTCCTCTCCGAGCTGACTGCACTGCAGAGCTGACGAGGCATCGGGATTGCTCCACGCTCCTCCTTGCGCAGCTAGGACCCTACTTACCCCTTCTCCCTGGCAACTGACGGGAGGGAAATGAGTATCAGAGCAAACAGGATGCAATAAACAATGCAGGTTTGTTCCTGCTGCCATTCTTGCTGCTGAGACAAATACAGAAAATAAAAGTTCCAGCCAGCTCCACGGATTCCAGACTCACTGAAGCTGGCTGCTGGCTTCTTCCTTTTCACGTACCTGTAAGCTGCGACTCGCTGCAGCGCTCCTGCTGATAACGTCCTCAAAAAAGCAGCAGAGCTGACGCATCAGTGCCCCGTTTGCCTGTTGCCACCTCGCTCCAGTGACAGAAGGAGCCGCGGAAGCCAGGCGGTAGCGGGGAGGGGGGGCCTGTCCCAGGGCTGATGGCCCCTGGGCTTGTGCAGCAGCTCCCGGGGGCGTGCGTGGGGCTAACGCCGGGCTGCGGTTCTGCCCCTTCTTGGTGTGGTTTTATAAAGGGGTTGATTGGGCAAAGCAGGGGGAGACCCTGCTGTGAGGAGGGGTGTGAAGGACTGCCTGCACCCCGAGCTGTCCTAGCAGTCAGTACGCACGGACGGGCTGACGGGCTGAACGATTTCGACTTAACACGCGCCATCTCTGCGACAACAAGTTTCAGACTTTGCCTAGATCCTGCGCGAGGGGAATCCAGACCTTTATTTCAACAGCCGTGCCAACCAAATAACAAACCAAACGTGGCAACAGAGGAAGAAATGAGCTCTTTGGCAATTCCTTAGAGAGCACAAATGCGGCGAGACTGTGGCCCGGACTTGGTGCCAAACCCGAAATGGCTGGAGAGCAAAGTGGCAGGGTAGGGGGGGGGTCACGCTTTTCGTCAGGGCTGGCTCCTGTCCCAAATACAAGTTACAGGGATCAAACCTGCATCGCCTCCAGCAGAAAGGAGCCAGGTACGGGTGGCGTCAGAGCTCAGCAATGCCCTGAGCACCCAGGAGAAATGCAGCAGAGGCCGCTCGCCCCTCCTGCAGCACCAGTACCCTCCTTCCCAGCGCCCCTTCCCCTGACGAGAGCACAGGCTCCCCTGCAGCCTTTGCCTGTTGCAGAGCGGGGTTCGGGCTGCTACCCAGGTACTGCGAGCCCAGCAGTTCATCCCGCTCCATCAGCTGGATTTTTCCTTTCTTGACTTTTCTAGAAAGTGGGGGATGTTAGGTCTCTTTGGGCCTAACTTACATTCCTCCTTTGCTTTTTCCTCTAGCCTTTTGTAGACAATCCTTGCAGGAAATCCTAAAGGATCAGAAGAACAGGACTCCATCAATCTGGAATTGAGTCTGCTAGCAAGCCTGTAGCACAAGGGCTCAGCTTTCTGCCCCTACACCAAGCATTTCTTCAATGGTTGATGCTTCTTCTGGCCCATATTCCCTTTCAGAAAAACCTAAATAAAGTTATTACTGTATCGAGCTTATTCAGTGAACCCGCAGCAGTCTCTTGGGGAAGATTTCAGGACATTAGAGGCAGCATTTAACAAGGCTTTCAACCCTAAGATAAAACAAACGGGGTAGAGACACCACAGCACCGCTCTCCGTTCCTCTGGGTTCCAAGAGCCACCGGTAGCAAGGCTGGTTGTGTGGAAGCCAACCCTCCCACCAGGATTTTCACAAGAAAGACACAAACCCAAAGCACGGATTAATTGCTAGAGATGCTGCTGACACTGCAGCCTTTATCAGAGAAGAAAGGTGGCATTCACAGGGGGGCTGGGCCATCGCTTTCTGTGTGCAGCCCAGCAGCACGGCATCGCTATTTATTGTCAGCTGCTTTATCAGTACAGCCACCGACCCCCAGCAGTCAGATTCCATGCCGTATCCGAAGCACGGATCGCTTGGCCTGGCTGCTCTCTGCCTGACAAGAGGACAAAATAAAATAGCAACCAAGCATTTACCCGTCCTGGGACATTCGGCTCTCTCCCGGCTCACCTCGGACGGGGCTGGTTTTGCAGGCCGACCGCCACACGTGATGATGGACGCCTCCAACGAGCTGCAAAGGTCAGTCCCATGCACGCAGCCCTGTCTGGGAATGATGTGGGATCTGCTGGGTGTCCTCAGGACATCGGCTGGCCCTCAGCCCGCAGAGCGCATGGCCAGGGCACTCCCAGCCTCGGGCGCACCAAGACCCCTTCCAGACCCCTTCCAAAACACAGCCACTGGCCCTAGAACCATGGCTGAAGGCTCCTGGAGCATCTGCCCCTCTTGGGAGGTGATGGGGGCCACTGTACCCTGGGGCACCCCCCAAACAAGCATTCTCGGGGGTAACTTGCTGTATTTACCCCTAACCTCGGCCGCTGAGACAGCCTGGCTGGTGCTGTGGTTACAGGCGGGTCTAAGTTACACAACCTTGCCCACAACTTCTTTTTAAAGAAAAGAGACTTTGAGAAGTCTTAATTACAAAATAACATTTAAAAGTTGTCAGGGTTTATTGTCTCGTCACACAGAGTAATGATTCACTTAACATGTCGTAACCAGAAGGTTAACGGTAGGCTGAGCCCTTCCCTCCCCTCCGTACGGCGCGGTGCCACGAGCGTGGCGTTGCAGTGGAATACAGAGCTCGCGGTGTGTGGAAGGACGGTAACGATTAAAAAGTGGATTTTTACCCAAGTGACCTGGAAGGCATTTCAAGCATCCTGCCCTCTCGGGTCGCTCGGCTCAGACATCGTTCCTCTGCTTCTCCCCGTCCTTGCCAGTGGCAGAACTGAGATTTCCAGGCTGTGTTCCCGTGCCCGCGGGGGACGCCAGGGCTCTTCACGACAGAGGAAGGAACAGCGCGATGTGACGTCCGCTTGCCGTGGCCGGGCTGCCAGCATGGTCCCCGTCTGTGGCACTTCAGTGTAGCGACTCGAGTGCCCCAAACCCAACAGAGCCCCAGGACAACACGCAGGTTTTTATGGTGAGGAAGCTGAAGCTGAAAATACAGGCAGTGACCGACAAGCCCAGGGTCTTGGTCTGTGGCTGCGCGTCGCAGTCGTGGCCACATCTGACGAGTGTTCCAGCTGTTTAAGGAAGTGCTGTGGCTGCAGGAGGTGCCTACAGACTGGGCCTGGTTTGGGGAACTCTGTA